TAGAGCAGAGGAAGCTTTCAAAACAGTAGCTGTTGGCCGGGCGCGGTGGCTCACGCCTGTAATCCTAGCTCTCTGGGAGGCCGAGGCGGGCGGATTGTTTGAGCTCAGGAGTTCGAAACCAGCCTGAGCAAGAGCGAGACCCCGTCTCTACTAAATATAGAAAGAAATTAATTGGACAACTAAAAATAGATAGAAAAAATTAGCCGGGCATGGTGGCGCATGCCTCTAGTCCCAGCTACTCGGGAGGCTGAGGCAGGAGGATCGCTTGAGCCCAGAGAGTTTGAGGTTGCTATGAGCTAAGATGACGCCACGGCACTCTAGCCCGGGCAACACAGTGAGACTCTATCTCAAAAAAAAAAAAAAAAAAACAGCACAACACTAGCTGTTGCAAATTGTATAATCAGGCATTCCAGATTTGTTATTGTAACATTTTTTAATTAATTAATTTTATTTTGGAGACAGAGTCTCTCTTAGTCTCCCAGGCTGGAGTGCAGTGGCGCCATCATATCTCACTGGAGCCTCTAACTCCCTGGCTCAAGCCATCCTCCTGTCTCAGCCCAGCTGGTCTCGTATTCCTGGCCTCAAGCCATCCTCCTACCCAAAGTGCTGGAATTACAGGTGTGAGCCACTGTGCCCGGCCAATTCAAATGTTAATCTCATCCAGAAACCCCTTCAGGGACACACAAAGACAAATGCTTGACCAAATGTCTGGGCACCCAGTGGCTCAGTCAAGTTGACGCATAAAATTAACCATCACAAGTCCACCCCTTGTCAACTTGGCACCCATACACATCTCCTTAAACCATACTTAATCCCCAAATAAAGACAATAACAAGTTCGTAATTCCACCTAGCATGATACAACTATCCTGTGTACAAATAAAAACACATTAACTACTTTTCCAGACGAGGAAGTAACGTCTTTGGGTAATGTTTCTTCTTCTTGACATGCTATAACATTTTTAACAGTACTTAAATGTCCTGATATTAAGTCAACACATCTTTTGTTATATGATAAAGAAAGAAGAGAGGGAAGAAAATAAAGATATTTTATATACATACACATGCAAACATATTCATGACCATTATAGTCCTTGTGTCTATAACCGGCCACGTGGTCATAGCTGGTATTTATAGCTACATTATCGCACTACCTGTTTGGTGTCCCCTTGGCCTTCAGCAAGCACCTCAGCTAGTTGTGGTTCTTTCCCTGGTGGGATGAAGTCCTTGACACTAATCTCTACAATTCCTCCAGGGACGCAGTATTGTTTTTGGTTTACTATTTTTCTAGGTGGAGGCAGTTCTAATGGCTTCCACTTGGCCACCTTCACCATAGTGGCCCTCACTCTACAAGTCAGGAAACCAGTGTAGTAATTCCGCCAGCTGTTGAGCATGTCTATTCTAATCACGTATTCCTGAACTGTAGATATAACCACAGAATGGGCTCACTGTGACATAGACCCGAGCTACAACGCCATTAATCACCTGACCTCCATAAGCCCCTACTCCGGCTGGTAGACCACGGCAGCATTTTGTGTGCCTTGGAATTAGTGTCAGTTCAGAGCCAGCGATCCTGAGAAGTCCGATTATTTCCTTTTCCCCAATGCACAGTCACCCTGGTAAAGGATCGTAAGTTCACTTGGGGGAAGGTTAAGAGTGTAAGTTTACAGTATACATTTTTGGCCATGTAGTGGGGTCCTTCTTCAAGGGAACCTGGCTTCCCCTTCGTTCTGGGTCTGTAAGTAAACTGGGCCACATCCAGGAGTTGACTGAGGGGCTGTGACTCTTTGTTTTGATGACTCAAGTTAGACTTTTCTTCTCTTGACCTAGAATTCTTCCAATTATACAGATAATATAAGAATTTAATGTAAGCTTGCCCGCCTATTTCACCTTTAAGAACAGCATGATCGACTAGCCAATGCCACAGGTCTCAGGAAGTCAGGCCATTCTGATGGCTGCTTTGACTCTGCTGTCCAGTACAGTAATCACGCCCACCTTGCCCGTGGCAATTGATTCCTGCCACTTGGTCACTGCCACCTCGGATTCAATCACCTCCATGGCATTGAGGTTTTCCCATTCAGCGGCAGCTATTTCCATTGTAATTTCTGACCTGCCAAGAAGAGTGAGCACTGAACACGTCAAGGATGCTGGGCCTCCCTTTACACATTGATTCCTCACAGTCATGAAGGATGTGTCCTCTGGACCCTCCCGGGGTAGGCGAAAAAATCCTACAGAATAAATACTCTCCAATATCCTGATCTCCCCAAGGCTTTGAACCCCTTCCTCTATAATATACCAAGGCAACACTGGCATCTCAACTTCATTGAGCATAGGCCACTTTGGGTCCATGTTTTAGCAGAACAAACACATTTTTAGAGCCCTTTCTAACCCCCTAAGCTGCAACATTAAATCTACAATCTTTGTTCAGTGGACCAACAGCAACAAATTCAGCTTGATCCAACTTCACTTTCCTCCCACCATTACCCCACACTCTTAATATCCTTTTCCCACACATTTTCTCCTGGATTTCTGTATGTATAAATTGGATAAAGGAGGTTGTCCTTTTGGAATGTAGCTTACCTCTTCGAGGGTCCCATTTTGTACTTCATCTTTCGGGGCCTGCTGGGACTTGAGCGTCATTATCATTATAGGTCTAGAGGTAAACGGAGGTGGTGGGGGTGTGTCCTGAATAGAATCAGCCGTGTCTTTCAAGTCGACTACCTCAGGGGAGGCCATTACAACCTCCTCAGGCAAAGCTGGGTTACCTCAGGTGGGCTGGAATAGCTGCTTCTACTATAAGAAGCCTCAGCAGAATTTAGGGGTTCAGGGTCCTCAATCTCATCAGAATCTTCCCGTATGTCCCCATTGCCATTTTCAGGATCTCTTTCTTTCCCAATCAATGCCATCCTTTGAGAGCGGATACATTGAGAGGTTGGGAATTTGATTTGCATTGTAATTCAGCCACTCATGGGATGAGTCTCTGGGTTTGCTTTTCATCAGGCTCAGCTCTGCAGTTAGTGATTGTAAACACTGCCTTGATCATATGCTATGTATACATATATTTCTGGACTCTATTCTGATCAATTCATATGACTTTAGTCGTATGTAGTATATTTTCTCAACGAGGAATGCACATATATGATGGTGACACATTTTTATTTCCAATGACTGTCCACAAGATGGTGTTAGCTCACTAAAAGAATCTGCTTACCAAAAGTCAAAGACCAAAATCAAGCATAAAGTCAAGCAATTGCTATATATATATATATACATACACACATATATATACACATATACATATGCATATATATATGAATGAATATCTTCTAATGTC